CCCCCAGCCTCCCGGAACGCCAACCCCTGCTCTCTCCAGCTCCCCGGTCAGCCTGGGCAGGTCCCCCCGCCCCGCGCTTTCCTATTCATTTCAGCCCCGCCTGGTGCCCCACGTACGCGTTCGTCCTTAAGGAGTCGTCTTCAAATTCCCTTCCGTCGGTGCTACCAGCACTCTGCTTTCTACTCAAGGCTTTTTTGGGGACACATTCCGCCCACTCAACCCTTTCCTGCCTGTTGTTTTTGTGATTTACATGGGTTCTTTCCCCCCCACCCCTCGGCAACGTTGTCTCCGTGGTCGGTTTCTGTTCTTTCTTCACCTAGACCGGCTTTCGCTCTTTAGCACTGGCCGATGAGGTGGGTGGGCAGCTCCGTGTCGGGATACCCTTTACGCATGAACATGGAAAACAGTACTAGGGGGAAAGCGACATCCTGAACTGCAAGCCAGACCTCTAGATGGGGGGCCCCGCTGGGGCCTCCGGTTAGGGGGCACCGGCTCTTCCAAAGAGGTTGTGGGAGTCCCCAGTTTTTACTTTGCGGACACATTTCAGTCATTCCACCTCGACCCCACCCCACCCGGAGAGCACTCCTCGCCTGGCCCTCCGAGCCTTCCTGCCCTTGCATTTACAGAGGCTCTGCCTCCGTGGAAACGCCGGGCCGAGAGGCTCGGAGCCCGATCCCCGCTTCCCAGGGGCGACGTGGTCTTGCCGAGCCAGGCAACTAGGGGGCCCCTCTGCTGTGGAATGCGCGGTGCTGCGGGAAAGGCCGGACCGTCCTGGGCTGGAAACAAAAGTCCCCTTGTGGGAGATAAATGTTTGTTGGATGAATGAATAAACAAACGAGTTTGACCTACTGCTCTCTTCCTTTTGGGGACATGTGAGAAGATTGGGCAGGTCACAGAGGAAAAGGGTTGGGTGTGATCACAATTTTTGCTTTCCATGTTTTCCTGAGGGAATCTGCAACTGTTTCCGTGGCGCGTGCGGCTGCGTCCGGTGGCTGGGGCCTGCACCAGTGTTGGTGACCGACAAGGGAGGACCTCGTTTCCCCTACGTGCCTATGTCTCCCACCCCTTCTGCTGGTCAGACCTAAACAACAGGCTTTCCTGCTTTAGTGCCCAACTTCCCCTCACTATCCCCGGAGCCTTCCTCATCGAACCTCAGGAAAGCCTCCCTCGGCCTCCATCCCTCCCTTCTCACCCCTCCTTTTGCAGGTACTATTTTCTAAACCATGGGGTGCAGGACTTTTTTGAAATCTGGGTTGTCTTGTACTCAAATTGTTCAAGTTTGTTTGTAATCTTGTCTCCCCAGAAAGACTGCGAACTCCCCAGGGCAAGTTTGGCATCTCACATAATCAGGGTTGAAAAGAACTTCCTTCCACATACATTCCCTTGTAGCACCAGCTGAGGCCAGATGTGCTTGGGCTTTTGCCGTTATGCTTTGGGCTAGGGTGCATGGGACACAGTGCCCTTACCCGCTTTTTGGAAAGTGTACCACTAAATGCTTGTTAGTCACAAGTGTTACAATTTTGCTTTGTGTCCAAGCTAATGTTTTAGAAGAACAGCAGTTTTCAAACTGGAAAATGGGACCCAGTGGTCAATAGTGATGAATTCAGTGGATTCCCATGGCCGTTTTTTCTTTAATGCATAGAATTAAAAATATCAGTATGATATATATGATAATGCTAATTACTACTCTGTAAAACTTTAATTTGATCATGTATACATATTTATATATTCTGAATTATGATATAAAATGTACTGTATTTCTTACTATGGGTTGGGACCAAAGAATTTTGAAAGCTACTGAGAACAAACCTATCCTAAGACAGAAAAATAATCACAAATACCAGTTGTCAACTCTGAAATTTCAGGAATGCATTGTCAAGGTAGGTTGTTAGAAGTTTTTATGGGGCAGATAGTTATCTTCTGTAGAATTATTTGACTGTTACCACCTGATAAAATAAAGTGGTTTTGTTTCCTGTGGGATATAATGAGTACAGTGGACCTTCCCAACTTGTTAAACAGTTGGTCTTTAAAATGACCCTCAAAATTACATTAATCCAACATCTCAATTTCCCTGAAGTGGGCTTAAACATTAAATTTGCTTCTCTCTACTCTCCATTTCCACCCACATAGTTTTGTTCTCAGGTTGGTTTTCTTTGATCTGGCCCTAGCCTGTATTTCTGCCTTTGTCCTTCATTATTCCTTGTGGTAGCCAGCTTCTGAGATGGCTCCGAAGGCATCCCACCTCCTGGTATTCATGCACATTTCTAATCCCCTCTCCTTGAACGTGGGTTGGACCTAGTGATGTTCTTCTATTAAGCATAAGTGATGGCATGTCATGTCTAAGATTAGGTTACAAAAAGCCTCTGGCTTGCATCTTGCTCTCTCTTGGTCTCTCTTCCTCATTTGCTTTGAGGGAAACCACCTACCATCTTGTGAACTGTCCTATGGAGAGGGCCATGTGGCAAGAAACTGATGTGTCTGGCAATAGCCAGGGAGAAGCTGAGGGCTGCCCACAGTCACGCCAGTAAGCTTGGAAGCTGACCTTGCCCAGTGGAACCTAAAGATGACCAAAGCCTAGCTAATACCTTTGCAAGAGGACTCAACTAAGCCCAGCCTGGATTCCTGACCCACAGAACTAAGTGATAATACATGTTTGTTGTTTTAAGCGGCTAAGTGTTGGCATAGTTTATTACTCAGCCACAGATAACTAATACATTCCCCTTTACATATACTCTATGCTTTTGCCAAAATGTATTGCTAAGTGTTCTCAATACAAACCATTTACCATTCAAACTGGTCCCGTTACTTGAAGTGTTCTTCATACATTCTCTTCCCTGCCATTACTATAAGTCTAAACTCTGCCTTACCTTTGAAGCCCTGCTTAAATACTACACCTTTCATTAATTTTTCTTTATTTGATGCTCCCATTAGAAATTGAGCTCATTCTACTTTGAACTTAGTGTTTGATAAGTATCTTTTTGTGGTACTTTTTTTTTGGTAATCCTCACCTGAGGACATGTTTTCCTTCTGTTTTAGAGAGGGAGGAAGGGAGAGGGAGAGAGAGAGAGAAACATCGATGTGAGAGGGAAACATTGGTTGCCTTCTGTAGGTACCCCAACCAGGGATTGAACCCACGACCTTTTGGTGCTGGGGAGGCGCACCAACAAACTGAGCCACATCGGCCAGGGCTGTGACAATTCTTTTTGCGTTGTCAGTGTGCTAGATTTTATGTTAGTGTCTTTTTAGGGTAAAATCTGGTTAATCACATCCAGCCTAGTCACTGAAAAAGAAGGTGCTTTTTTCAGTATATGGATGAATTAAATGTTTTTTTTCTCTATAGTACCTATCACCACCTGAATTATATATATTCATTTACTTGTTTAACCTTGGTCTTTCTCACTAGAATGTAAGCTCCACGAGGGCAGGAATTTAATTTGTTTTGAGTACTGTCAGTTCTAGCACTGAGAACAGTGCCTGATAATATATTGCAGGAGTAAATAGTTTTGAGTTTCTCTAGGACCAGGAGAAATCACATTATCTAATACAGGTTTCCACCTCCCACTTCCCCCATTAAAAAGTAAAGCATACCTATGAAACTTTTGTAACCCATTGTGACTTAAAGCAAAGACGTAATTACCATTAATTTATATGCTGGGGATGAGTGTAGTTCCTAGGGAAGGTGCTTTTGGGTGCCACTCTTGCTGCTTGGGGTGTGTAATGTCTCTATAACAGCTTTTTGCAAAACAAATGCTGAAAGCTATTTTCACTTTTCACCTTTTTTTGTAGAAGTGAAATCATCTTTGGATTTCTTTCTGTTAGTCAAAACAGGTACTACTCTAGTCTTTTATAAAAGTGAAGTGGAGTAAGGTAAACTTTTGTAAAATG